CTCGCCCCCCCGGGGGTCCCTTCCCTCCTGGCTCCATCCGTAGTTTGGTTGCACTTGAAGTGCTTTATCCCCTTTTCGCCCCTTCCCTGCTTTCCCCGGGGGCGGCCGCGGTGTCGCTTGTTTTCCTCCCCACCCCGACTGACACCCGCGGAAGGGGCGTGAAGGAGGGGGGGGAGAGCCCGGTCGAGGCTGGCATCTCCTCGTTGACCTTCCCTTGTTGGAAAGGGAATGGGGTGGTTTGGGTGCTGGGCAGAGAGAATTTCTTCCTCCTGATTGTTCCCGTTTTAAGGTGGGTCGGTAAAGCTCTGGTAGGTTTTGCGTTGTCTGACACCGGCTGACACCTGGACCAGTGGTGGTGACACATCATGTGCCAGGCGGAATCCGAGTGGTTGAAGGATGCCCCTGGGAGATCTTGATAGGCACCGAAGGCCTCAAACTTTTGTAGGCGTGAAAAGCAAAGACGTTAGAATTGTTTCTGAAAACTCCTTCAAAGAAACTTGGTTCCAGCTTCCAAACGGCTGAAAAAAAAACCCCCAGCTGTACTCACACCTGGACGGTGAGGACAGCAGGGCAGAAACGCTTCGCCAGCCATCCAGTTTGGAGTTGGTGACTATGATCTACTAGGGATGGAAAGTCACGAAAGAGACTCGGCAGTTGTCTGTTTTTATGTGGTGGCCTAAAGTCCCAGAGGATGACCTAGCACTTAAGAATCAAACTGGGCCAAGTTAAAGGCCAAGTTGACTTGAAAGAACCCTAACGGTGGGACCGGGTCAGAAGCAAAGCAAGTCCCAAACTGAGTGTATCTGGTCAAAGATATATATTCTTTTTAAAAGACATTGTGTTACTGGAGCCGGGCCTGGATCTTTTAGCATCCAGTTGTGCTCGAAGCAGCTCATAGGTTTTTTGTTTTGGTTTTTTTTTATTCATGTTTGTACAATCTTCTGGATATTTTTTTTCAAGAAGGAGTAAAAGGGAGTGTTGGAAACTAACAAACAGGATTAAAACCCTGAGCGCTTAAGGAAAACAGGTTAAGGAACTTAATCCAGGATGGATATGCAGGAGCCACAGCAGCTGGGTATGTTTGCAGAGAGCGAGCTGATGTCTGTGGGGATGGACACTTTTATCCATCGCATTGACTCTACGGAGGTCATCTACCAGCCACGGCGGAAAAGGGCCAAGCTCATTGGCAAATACCTGATGGGAGACTTACTTGGAGAAGGGTCTTACGGCAAAGTCAAGGAGATGTTGGACTCTGAAACCCTCTGTAGGAGAGCTGTGAAAATACTGAAGAAGAAGAAGCTACGCAGAATTCCCAATGGGGAGGCAAATGTGAAAAAGTGAGTAAATATTTCCGGTAGCTGGGAGCTGAGGGGTTAAACTTTGTCATTATTTTCCAGCTGATGTTCTGTATCATTTTAACTAACAACTTGGCTTTCTGCTGTGGAGGTGCTTCCTGAACCGTAGGTAGCCAGGAATCTCTTTGCCATTGAACGGCAGCCGGCGCTCTGGTTGAGGGTGCTTCTTCCAAATGCTGCCCGACGGTTGGGAACAGGGAAGGGAGCTGGTTCTCGAGGGCAAGGGCGGCAGGTCTGTCTGTCTGAACAGACAGCCCATAACACACGCCACTCTTAATAGTATTGCTTAAAGAGTGAAATAGTATTTCTTAAAGAAATCCCTCTTCGAGATTTCACGTCGAAGAGGTACGCTGTGGTGCCGTCGGCTAGGGAAGGTGAGAGGTGGTATAGCTGAGAGTGCAGAAATACACTTTGTGTTGTTGCGGTCTGCGTTGTTTGTGTACCCATCTAGGGGCGCGGGGTTCTTGAGCTCTTTGGGATGGCAGTTATTGCTCCCACCCGTGTAGTAGGTGCCTGGAACGTGGTCCAACGTGTTGTGCACCCAATGGGCATAGGAAGTCTTGGGGTTTATTCTTGGTTTCACTTCTGACTAATGAGTTCGGTAACTAATTCGAGGCTCTTTTCAGTTGATTTCTGCAGCTGTAAAATGGGGACAAGGGTTGTCAACTTTTTTTTTTTTCCTTCAGTGACTCAAGATCTGTGCTTGGAAGCTTTCGAAGTGCCAGTTACACACTGATTAGTCAGGGCACAAGTAACTAATTAAAATTAACTGTGGGAGAAGCCTGGTGTTATGCTTCATCTGTAGGGCTGGGTGTATGAAACTTTCCCTTTCCTTGGGGCTGTGCTCTGCTTGCGGGGACCTCGCAGCCAGCTGTGTTTTCCGCGGCAAGCTGTTTGTCACAGCCCTGCGAGATAGTTGTTTATCTGCTGTGAAGGGGAGCCTTCTGCAGCCAAAACAAACTATTTGCAAGCATTTATCTCGTAGTGGGAGGGAAAACTTGCGAGATGTTTAGAAGACTCTTGTATTGCGTCTTTAGCTGTGGCATGCTGAGTGTAGAGCCCTGACCTAGCAGGGTCTTGTTTCTGTTTCTCAGTTTGGTTTGAATTTCCGAGCTCAGCTGCGAGATATTTCACATCCTGTACCGGGACTTCTGTCAGTGAGCTGTTTAAGTTTGCCTTCTAGCCTTCAGTGACAGGCTTAGCTACAAAATAGTCACAGATCCTAATGCCGGGACCTCCCTTTCTCTCCTTTGCTGGCTCAAGTTCAGAATCAGAGTAAACTGTTGGTTAATATGTAATAAAATGTTTCTTGTTTTTCTGGTAAAGGCATGAGTGCCCCTTTCCACCCTTGCCCCCTCCTTGAATTACATCAAGAGTCCCTGCTGAAGAAGGGGGAGACTGTTTCCTCTTTAGTGAAAACTTAGTTTTAAATTTTTACCCCTCTTAGTGAAAAAGGACTTGCCAAGTAACAGTAGTGTTTACTGAGATCAGAGCCACGGTAATGGTCCCGTGTCCTGAAGTGAACTCTGTAGAGGTCTTATTCGTGCACAGAGCCTGTCCATGAATGTCTTGTCTGGTTTCGTTAAGGTTAGTTATTAAAGCAGACTAGCCAAGCACCACTCTGTTTTGCTGTGGCTGTTTTTCTGGCTCAGCCGCACCTGCCTCAAAACACTGAGGCGGATTTTAGATGTTGTCTTGTAACAAGGGTTTACTTTAGTTCAAGTTCCTATTTTTGTCGCCTTGTCCTTTTCTCTTTGTCCACCTATTCATTTGCTTTATCTGCTTCTTCAGCGGTGAATTTTTTTAAGGCAAAATGTCATATTTTTGTGATACCCGTGGAGATCTGACTTTATCAAAAACCCTTTGGTGCTACTGCAACAGGCAGCGAAAGCTGTCTTTGCTCTGAATAAACCTGTTGTGGTGAGATACGTCATCAAACCTGTACGGTTGGACTGGTCAGTATGGATGGGGGTGAGCAAACCATTGCTGTGTTTCCAGGTAGCACTGCAAAGTACTCTAACTTTTTTTTTTAACATCGCATTGCTTGGCCAGACTCCATTAAAATTTCACTTTCTACAACTGCATTTGAGCAGCTTTGCCGAGTGGTTTGTACCCAGCAAACTACTCGCATGTAATAAAAGAGCAGAAAATCAGATTGTGGACTGGATCGCATCAATAGGTTCTACTTTCTTTCTTGAAAGCTACTAATAAGTGCAGTAATAAGTAAATATGTAATTCCTGCGTTACAGTGAGGCCTGCTTCCAGTCCCACTTGCGTCCTTATCTATATAAGGATGTCTGCAGCTCAGTACGTGCGAGATGAGTGTGATTAGTTGTCTAATCTTTGTAAACATCCCGACTTCAGTTGGTGCCCTTTGAGATTTAAAAACCTCTTCACCTGCCACCAGAACTAGACCACCGCTTGGTGCTCCCTCTCCCTGCCGGTGCCCCCAGTGGTATGTGCAAGCAGAAGGCTCTTCCAAAGCATTTGCATTCATGGAAAATGAAATGGTCAGGAGTGAGAGTCTCCTGAATCCCTAACGAATTGTTTTCTCTGCTGTAGAATGACTGCATAATGTCTTAACTATTAGTCTGCTCTCTGGGGGTTAATTTCTTCATATAGTGCTGCAAACGTGTTAAAAGTGCACTGGCCGAGGGTCTAAGCAATTAGGGCGAGTGTTCAGGCTCGGTTTAAAAGTGCCTATCTCTTGGAAGTGACCATTTGCTCTTTCAGTCTCAAAATACCTTGTACAGTTTTCTCTTAACTGCAAAGACAGTGCCCGTTCCTACTAAAGTGATCTCCAGCATTTCTTACCATACAGGAAAAAGCCACATGTGTGACTTGGTTTGTTTGACAGAGATGTAATTGAATTATTATAATGGACTTGTGCCTCTGCCATTATCACAGGATGCCTCGGCATTGCTGCTGCTGTGGTGAAGATGAAACTTGCATTGATAGTGTGTCATCAAAGAAATTCCCTAGAAAACAGTTCCTAGACTGTTGGCCCTTGGGTAATTATATGAGCAAGTAATATACAGGGAGTAATGACAGCAAGGGAGACCACAATAATGATGAGCCACGGAGGATCGTACGGGTCTGGCCGTGCATTGGGGACCCCGGATACGTGGGGCTGGTGTTACAGCTCGGGGAGCTCTGTTAATGCCATTTCTGTGTTACTCCTTACTAATATTCGAGGCTGCAGCCTCGTCCTGCATGTGCGGGCTGGTTGCCCCAGTCCTGTCTCTTGGTGCAGTAACAGAGTTCTGGGGACCTAGAAATTATGACTGAAATGTGTTTGTGATTTATTACGTAAAATTGAACGATTCTTCTCTACCCCAAAATGCTCCAGTTCTGCCCCTGAAAAATGAGCCCTGAAGGGATCTGTGAATCCTGGTGAGGAAGTTGAGGGTTTAAACTCGTAAGACACGCGTTTCCCTAAATCAGTCTAGGGAATCTTCATTTCTCTTCAGTCACTTTAGAGAAAGGTTGAGGTGGCTTAGTCAACCAGACAGTACTAGGGCTAATTACTGCTTCCAGTTAATACAAAAAATGAGTTTAGTAAGATTGCCAAAAAGATGAAAAAAAAATTTGGAAGACTATTTGTCTCTAGCAGCACAAGTTTTATTAAACTGTGTGCTAATAGCCTCACATTTTAATTAAGTGTTTGGGACTTTCTGTGCGTATCCCAAGTGTCTTGTACTGTACTTACCACGCTTGGTGATTACTTGGATTTGAATATATGCTCATTAGAATTCCTCAGAGGTTTAAAATGTATAGTAGGCCTGTACTTTGACGATTTGCTCCTTGGGTCTGCAAATCAAGAGTCTTGCACCTCAAAACATGGACAGTTCCGCTGAAGGAAGGACTTGTTGCAAGCTGCAGAGGCGTGTGCTTTAGACGAAGACGGGCTAAAGCTGACTCACTGATTTCCTGTCCCTCGCTCCCAACCGAAAAGGTCTGCGGTACGTAACCGGGTGGCTCTGCTGTTTTCTTTGCTAAGACGAATATCTGCTTGGGTTCAGTGGTGAAATGTTGGAAAAGGTAATCCGTAGCAGGTAGCTGTGCTGGGGTGGATATAGGGCTTGTAATGTCGGACATCCCTGCCAGGAGTGTGATGCGGAGGAAGGCCTGGAACTAGTAAAAAGAAAAATTAACGCTGGGATCTTTACCTCCCTTAGCAGCCCCTGGGGCTCACAAACGCGGTTTGGGAGTAGGGGCCTGCCTGCGAGGGCTGGCCTGCCTGTTGCTGTCAGCTTCTGTGAGGTGAGAGCTGTCAGGGTTCAGATCACTGTGTTTGGTGGCAGAGGGTACGCTCTGATCTGCATCTGCAGCATTTAACATCTCGGGGGCTTTTGGGTGCGCATAAAGAAAGAAGTGTGGTGACCACAGTGGATGTTTCTGTAACTTGGCATGTTGTGGCCCTAGGGGAGGGAGAGGCAGTGGGAACGTGGTGGAGATGCTATAATGCTCGCAACACTATTTTGGGTGATGGCTGGAGAGGAACCGTTTGGATACTAAAACTTGAAAGATGTAGGTCAGCACTGGATTCATCAACACATAACGATGTCAGCCCCTCCCCACGTCAGATGTACGTTCAGACGTGTAAAGCTTAGTTTGAAGAAGGAAATAGCGAGGTGCTCTGCTCAGTCTCTTATCTGAAATACCGCTCATCTTCGTGAGAGCGAAGAGGTGCAGCTTCTCACGTGGATGAAAATGACAAGTTGCATCCTTGCAAGCAAAGGGCTTTTTTTTTATGTGAAATAAGCAGGAAGAAGCTGTTCACAAGCTAGACCTTAAATAAGGTAATCTGCTTTGTGGCGTATCGGGGATACTAACTTGTAATTAAAATTTGCTTTGGCTGTACAGGATTACAAAATCAATCTAAATAAATACATAAAGTAGTTGTTCAGTTGCGTAAAGACCAAATGAATGATTCTCGAGTCCTTTGTAGCAATTAGCAAGAATGGTGTTAGTGGATTTAT